TCCATGTCCCCCAAACACAAACAATACTCTCCTCTTAGCCTTTGCTGAGGCTGTTTTTTCACACCTGGAATATCCTCCCTTGACATGTTAAACTTGTACCCATACTCTAATTTTTCTCCCACTAAACTGAATTTGTTCCAGGGGCTAACAATTCCTCACTATGGTTCTGTTCCTCATGAAAGAAAATCAGAGTGAAGACTATTATTGATATGGGATGGGAGAGGGGAGTGGCATAAAGAACAATGCAATGGCAGGTGCCATTGTGCTGACAAAGGGGGCAGCTCATCTCCCAGAGAGGCTAGCCCTCCCTCACCTCTGCAGAGGTTGGGGAGAAAGAAGAGGGCCATTTCAGTGACAAGATTGGGGAGGGGGGTGGTAGCTCAGATGGCAAAGAAGGGAAGGGGGAAGAATCATTCTTCCCAGGTTGCCCCCACCCACCCAAGTTGTCAGTGCCTTTGGGCAAAGCCCCCTGCACCCCCATGCTTGTTCTAGCTCTGGTGAGGCCTGTGCTTTGTAACACTAGAGAAATTGGAATTGTTGTCGATGTGTATTGTATGCATGTGCATGTTGGTATATGTATGCATGTGCTTTTGAATGTACTCTCTGTGTGAATACAACATATAGAAAAATTCTAAAAAATCAGAGGTAGCATACAATAGGGCTGCTGCTTCAGGAGAGCATGGGCTTCTTGACATTAGATACTCTAGGATTTAGAATAACAAGAGACCTTAGGATCGCCTACAATTCAACTCTCTCCTTTACAGATGTGGAAGCTGAGGCCCAGAGGGGGCAGTGATTTGCCAGGGGTCTCTCACATTTCAGTAATAGAGCTGGGATGTGAACTCAGCTCCTTGGGCTTCAGAGCCAGCTCTACTTTGGTGTTATCCTGGCCCCCCTAAAATGTGGTCACAGAAGTGAACAAAATATCTAGAAGAGTCTGATCTTCTCTGCTCCCTCTCAGAGGGGAGAAAGGCCTCACTCACGGCCACATGGAAGTTCCAGCTAAGACTAGAACTTAGTTTTCCTGGTGCCTAGGCCAGTGCTCTCTCCATTATCTCCATCTATATTTTGGGGCATATCCTGATACAGGCACCACCCCACCTGGCTACAGCTAGCTGTGTGACTATGAGAATTAACCCATCTCACCATTCTGTGCCTCAGTTGCCTCATCTGTGTAATGGGGATAATAGTCCCAGTTCTTCCTTCCTCACAGGGCTCATGTGAGGCCCCGTGAAATAGTATGGATGTGAAAGCTACCCTATAAACTATAAAAATCTGCCTACAAGTTAATTGGGACAACTAGAAGGTGCAGTGGATAGAGTGCCAGAACTAGATTTAGGAAGGCTCATCTTTCTGAGTTCAAATCTGGCCTCAGATGCTTACTAGTAGTTGTGTGACCCTGGGAAAGTCACTTCACCCTGTTTGCCTCAGTTTCCTCATTTGTAAAGTGAGCTGGAGAAGGAAATGGCAAACCACTCTAGTATCTTTGTCAAGAAACCCCAAATGTGTTCATGAAGAGTTGGACATAACTGAAAAATGACTAAACCACAAGCTAGTTATTGGTATTGTTATTGTTGTGGGAAGTGGGCCAGGATAACACTGCCCCATGCCTCTTTACTCTCAAATCAGCAAACCTCGCGGGCCCTTCCTTTTCCCTCTGGCAATAGATGCTTAATATTGTTTGTCTGACAGACTGCATCCCCAGGGTGAAAGGGAGGTCTGAGTCCCAAAAGCCTGGAAATATTTATTGGTCCCTCTTGGGACAGCCAGGGATGGAGGGGGGAATGAGGAGGGCTAAGTTCTGAGTTTAAAGAGGCAAGGGATCTTCCAGAACAAGATTCCTCCCCACAGAACTCCCCAGCCCAGTGCTGGTGGTGCATGTTCAGCCTAATGGAGAGGGGAGCTATCAGAGCAAGTTCCCCCCAGAAAGGCAAGTGAGTAGAAGCTGTGATACAGAGAGTTCTAGATCCCCAGCACCTCAGGATCACCTGGAGCTGTGGTGGGAGACCAAAGCAGAGAGGTGAGAAAGGGTCTTACTCTGGCTTCTTGGCTCTCAGCCCTGGGGGGGACAGGGGGAAGGCATTCAAGGCAACAGAGTGGGCTGCTTTGGAAATCCCAGAGGTAGAATGACCTGGGGATGTCAGAAGACTGAGGGGGGGAAGCCAAGTTGTCAGAATGATGGGGGTCAGGAGGTTAAGGATGGGGCTGTATAAGGAATGGGGTGCTGAGAAGGTAGGAATCAATATTTTTAGTGAGGAAGCTGAGGCATCAAAGGATCTAAGAGCCAAGAATGTTGGATTATGCAGCAGAATGTAGCAGGAATTAAGCCCTTTCTCTGCGTTGGGAAATACCAACAGCTCATATGTCGTTAACACTGTTATTTCCTGTCATTTCCTCCTCAACACTTCCATGATATTGTATTTCTATTCCTATTTAACAGTTGGGAAATTGAGACTTAAAGAGGCTAAGTGAATTCAATCAGGTCAGAATTAGTTAAGTGTTGGTGTCAGGATTCCAACTCAGTCTCCTTGCTGGTTCTTTCCATCTACTTCCTCTCCATAAGATGAAGTAACTCAACAAGATGTTCTCCATGGCCCCTTCCTGTGCTAAAATTCTATACTTTCTATGTTCTCAGGTTCATTTCTTTCCTATCATTCTCTGATTCTCTGACTGGGGCTAGGAAGAAAATCAGCTTGGATCCATACAATCTATGGCCATTGGAGGTAAGGGCAGGTTGGAGTGGGGAGGGAGGGGCATGCAGAATCAGGGAATTTATAGCTGGAAGGAAGTCTATGGACAATCTAGTGACTAGTCCAATCCCTTTATTTTAAAGTATGGGAAACTGAGGCCCTGAGAGAGGAAGTGGAAAGTAGAAGTAGGATTCATGCCAGGATCTTCCAGTTCCAGGCTCCATTTGGACCCTCTGGTTTCCAGAGCCTATCTTCTTTCTAGTACAACACACTATCTTTCTACTGAGTTTATTTGGCAGGGAAAGAGAAGACTTGAGAGAGGGAATCAATAACCTTCTCTGCTGATTATTAACATTCTAGTTCCTGCTCTGCTGCTAACTTCCTACGAGGCCTGGTGCATGTCACTTTCTATGTTTGGACCTCAGTTTCCTATTCTGTGAATCTATTAACATTGAGAGAGAAAAATTCTCCCAAAGTGTCAGATGTCCAAAAGGAAAATGGCAGATGCTTCCAAGATACAGTTTGATAAATCATGAAATCTCAATAGCTTAGAGTAATAAAGGAATTCAGAGAGTATTAGGTGAACATCCTTCCCATATACTTCTATAATAACTTTGACGATAGGACATTAAGTCTTTGAATGCCTTCAGTGACAAGGAATTTACTACCCTTTGAGGCAACCCATTCCCAACCAATGTGAAACAGCTTTTTCATTTCTGTTCTCAGTTCCACCTTTTACAATCTAGACTCATTGATGAGCTATCTCACAGTCACAACAGTCTTTAGATGTCTCCATTTTTTCTCTATTAGAATCATTTTGACTGTGTCAACCAAATTTTATTCTTTAGAGTTGTTCATTTCTCTTAGACCCATTTCCTTTATAAATTCTCAGACCACATGATTCCACCCTTTTTTCTTTAAACTCTTTGAAATCCATTTTCTTAAAGTCTACTAGAGTACAAGTTTTACTTTGCCTAGCTTTCCTCCCCTTATTCTATCAAGAACTCTAAGAAGACATGATTGTTTCTTTCTGGAGTCCCTGTAATTTCCTCTTCTTTAACAAGTTTGTTGTTCATCAAAAAACTATCAAATATCAGTTTACTTTGTTGTCTCTTCTACCTCTGAGAAATAAAATAATGATTAAGAAAAATTGAAAATTTATCAGATGGTCTGATTGTAGTAGAGCGACTACCAGAACATATCTAGATGACTGAAGTTTCTAATCACTACTATATCTGGACTGGGCTAATTTCGTAATCTGTTGTAGAATTTTATTGTCAGGTTCTTCTATCTGTCCCTTGGATCTGTAGTGTGCTTTCACTACGATATTCCTTCTGTTTCTCTTTCCTTTGATTCAAAACACAAATAGTCTCCACCACACTTTCTCATTTTTGTTGTCATTGTTCAGTTGTTTTTCAGTTGTGTCTGACTCTTCGTGACCCCATATGGGTTTTACTTGGCAAAGATGCTGGACTGGCTTGCCATTTCCTTCTCCAGTTCATTTTACAGATGGGGAACTGAGGCAAACAGAATTAAGTGACTTGTCCAGGGTCACACAGCTAGTTAAGCGTCTGAGACTGCATTTGAACTCGGGAAGGTGAGTTTTCCTGACTCCACACTGGGCACTGTATCCACTGCACCACCTAGGATCATGGATTTTCATAGAAGGAGATCTCTTCTTGACATAAAGCTCTACTCCGCTCCCTTTTTATCTAACCTAATGTTTATGAATAAGATGTACTTTTTATTCACTGTATTGCTGTCATGAATATCCCTGATGAATATTAGAAACATAAGAAGCTAGGTGTAGTCCTTCCTGGAGAAGAAAGGGAAAGTATTTATAAAAGCAACCTGTTTGAAAAGGGCAGGGATAAAAATATAAAGGTGTAGTTGTCTCTGGACCTTAGCCAGCAGAACTAACAATAAATACATTATTTTAAAAAAATTAATAGTCTCACTTACTGCAATTCTATGTGTTGTAGTTTTGCAATTTTGGTGGACAAGGGGTCACTCCGCTATGGGCGGAGTGAGCAAGGTCTAGGCAGAGGCTTTAGATTATGGACTTAGAAAAATTCAAATCACTTTTACTTATTTCATGGCCATGACAAAAGCATCTAGAAGAAACATCTGGTTCCTGGGAAATGGGTATGTGGGGAGTAATCACTTTTATCTCTCCCAGGGCAATGAGATGAGAACGTACTAGAAAGTCAAGCCTAGAGTTTGTTTCTATAAGAGGCAACATTTTTCCAGTTGTTTCCATTTCCAGATGTTCCTGTTGCCCACCTCCATGACATCAAGTTTCAACCTACCATGGCTACAAGAGCCTGTAACAGTTCAGATGACTCCCCCACCTCCTTTTATCTGATGGGCATCCCCTCCCTTCCAGAATCATTTGCCCTCCCAGTCTTCTTCATCTTCCTCATCCTCTATCTCCTCATTGTCACTGGCAACATTCTGATCCTGGTGGCTGTGGTGATTGACTCCAACCTTCACAAGCCCATGTACTTCTTCCTGACCAACCTCTCAGCACTAGACATCCTCTTTACTACAACCACCATCCCCAGAATGCTCTCCCTCTTCTTGTTAGATGATAGAATCCTCTCCTTCCCAGCCTGCTTCCTGCAAATGTACTTTTTCCATGGCCTTGGTTGTGGGGAAGCCTTTATCCTGGTGGTCATGGCCTATGACCGCTATGAAGCCATCTGCCACCCATTGCACTATACAGTCCGCATGACCCCACAGGTCATTGCCAAGCTGGCAGCTGGTGCCTGGTTAGCTGCCCTCCTGCTGCCCATCCCAGCTGTGGTCCAGTCATCCCAGATGACCTTTGGCACCCTGGCCCAGGTCTTCCACTGCTTCTGTGACTACCTGGCAGTTGTGCAGGCCTCCTGCTCAGACCCTACCTTCCAGACATTCCTGGGTTTCTGTTGTGCCATGGCTGTTTCCTTCATGCCCCTGCTACTGGTGGTCTTATCCTATGCTCGAATTCTCATCTCCATCCTGAAGATCAGCTCAAAGGAGGGCCAGGCAAAGGCCTTCTCCACCTGCACATCCCATCTCCTTGTTGTTGGCACCTACTATACATCTATTGCTGTGGCCTATGTGGCCTACAGGGCTGGCCTTCCTGTGGACTTCCACATTCATGGGGAATGTGGTATATGCCATCCTCACACCTGTGGTGAACCCCCTCATCTACACCCTAAGGAACAAGGATGTCAAAGCAGCCATCACCAAATTCATGATTCCCTGGAAAAGAAGACTGTGAGCTTCCTACCAGCTGCATCTACTTCTCCCCACCCACCCCACCAGCTGTTTATATCACCTGGAACATCAGTCACACACCTGGCTGACAAGGAGAGCCATTCAATTGTCCCTCTGGGTGTTAGTTCTTTCCCAAAGTTGCAACGCATCTACCTCCTGCCTTTGCAATTCTAGACATGTAAGGTCAACAGAGTAAACTGGTATTGTATTGTGACCCACATGCAGACCAGAATCATAAGTCTTTTTGATTACCTTAGATTCCTAGTGTTAAAAGAAACTTCAGAAATCGTCTACTATGCAACCCTTTCCCAAATCAGGAATCACCAGGATAGGATAGAACCACCAAGCCAATACCTCTTCAAGGTATCTTCCAGTGTCTGTTTGAATGCCTCCACTGCTGGGAAGCTCAATTCCTATTGAGGCAACTCATGTCATTGTTGGATAGCTCCAATTATTACAAAATCCTTCTTTATACTGTGCCCAAGTGTCAGCCACACCAGTTCACAAGCAAGGATCTTAGAGATCATCTTGTCCAGGGGTTCTTAATATGAGGTAGGTTTCATGAATTTGGATGGGGAAAAAATGACATCTTTAATTTTTTTTAACCCCTAACTGAAATTCAGCACTTTCTTCAATTTGGGATATTGTCAATAAACATGATTCTGAGAAGTGGTGCATTGACTTCCCCAAATTGCCAAACGATGACATGGAAAAGTTTAAGAATCCCTATTCTACTCCAATTCTGTTATTTTAAGATCAGACAAGGTAGAGTAGGGAAAAGTATGCTGGCTTTGGTGTCAGAAAGTCTAAATTCAAATCCTGGGTCTTTGGAATGATGATGAGGCATGCTGCCCCTCCCTTGACAGTGAAGTGATACATTCAAAATGCAGAGGGAGACATCCATTTTGGACATGGTTAATGCAGGAAGACTATGCTTATTTGTTACAAAGATTTTGTTTTTCTTTTTTCTTTTTTTTTATTTCTAGAACTTTTATTTTTGGAGAAACTTTAAGGGAGTGATTAGTAGATTCTATCATTACTTTGTACCCTGGTTTTAATAGATCTGACAGTTTTTGTTTATGATTTCTTTATATGTGGTATCCAGGTTTGTTTGTTTGTTTCTTTGTTTGCTTAATTGTTAGTTTTAGGGAGCCAAATGATTCTTAAATTATTGTTTCTTGACCTATTTTCTAGGTCAGTTCTATTTTTGTAATATCAGATATTTTATTTTTTCTTCTATTTGTATTCTCTTTTTTGTTCTAATGTTTCTTGCTGTCTCATGAAGTCATTGATTTCTGTTTGGCTTGTTCTATTTTTTAATGATTCTATTTTCTGAGTAAAATGTATTGCTTTCTCTTCCGGAGTACTTATTTTCTTTCCAATTCTTTTCTCAGCAGCTTTATTTCATTTGTTCATGTCTTGCTTCATTTCTTTCATTTGAGCCTCTCCTTACAGTTGTTATAGAATTAAATTGCAATGATTTTGATACTTATGTTTTATTTGATTTATAATATATCTCTCCAGCTTTAGTTCTTTCATTGGATCCTTACGGGACTAATCTCCACTCTCTGCTGTCCTACTGTGTTCTTGGATAGGGTAATAAGCCTGCTGACTTCCACCTCCTGAATTTACACACACACACACACACACACACACACACACACACACACACACCCTATATTGAATCTTGAGGGCACTCTCCGATGTCTCAGGACAGAGTTTTAAAGATTTCAGAACCCCTGAGATATCCCAGTCTAATTTTTGCTACACCATGCTGACTTGGTGGGCACTGAGCTTTCTGACCACTTTCCCAGGGGAACCTTTCACTCCTGATGCTTCTGGGTAGAGAGTGTTGCAAGCTACACATGTCCCAGGCTCCTTCTGGTTGAGCTGCGATGCTCAACTGTGATGGTGCTGGGGGAGGAGGCTGGAAGGAATCACTGTAGTTTCTCAAAAGATTTCTTGATCATTATTTGATCTGGTGAGAACTGCAAGGTTTTTCTGGAGTAAGTATATAAGAGCTAGACATCCTACCTTTCATTCAGATAGCCATCTTAGCTGAAAGTCTTAGAGGCTTTTTCAGTAACTGATGAGGTCTAGAGGTTTAGGGGTGCTGGAACCCCAAGATCACGACACGCAGGTCCTTCTCGAAAGAATTCGACCCAAGCCTTCTTTTAGCCAAAGACAAGGTTTATTAAAGCTCCACCATATTGGCCAGACCCTTAAGGAATCTGAGCACCTGTGAGCTAGTGGCCATTGTAAAAATCTCAGCAGTGGCTAGATTATAAGAATCAGAGCAGTGGCTAGATTATAAGAATCCCAGACTGTTTTTCTGTTTTTCAGTGGAGGGGAGTAGACATGGAGGTGAGGAAATGAATGCTTATTAAATCCTGGCCATATGAAATCTCAAGTAAGTCATCTCTCTGCTGACTTCAATTTCCTCAGCTGTAAAATGGGCCTAACAATCCTTACCCTCCCTTCCTCACTGGGCTTCTGTGTGGAAAGCACTCATTGGAATGTCGAGTGCCATAGAAATATGAACTATTGTTTACCAATGAGGAAAACGAGACAGAGATTTGCCCAAGGTCACATGGCAATTACAGAGCTGAGATCTGAACTCAGGTCACCTGGCTCTTTCCATTACGTCACAGAGGGTATCTGCTTCTGATTGTTGGGCTTGGAGGTACAGGATGCAGCCCACTGGGGTGATCAGCAGGGCTACAAGAGTCTCTAGGTTTGGAACACAAAGACGTCTGAACATGAATCAGACATGGAGCTGACTGACAGGCCACAACAGCTCTCAGCCTTCCCAAGAGCAGGCCTCTGAGGACGGCATTTTCCAGTGGCACATTCCCTCAGAGCCTATTGTCTGATGATGCTTCCTTGGCAGGCACCACATCGATGCAGGGGAAGAGCACCAGACTGAGCAGCGAGAGGCCTCAGCTTGGGTCCCAGTTCTCATCACTGATCTGCCAAAATCACTTCCTTTCTCTGTTTCCTCCTTTGAAAAATTGGGGTCAAAACCCCAACCTGCCAACTCCAAAGGGATTAAAGAAAGTCATGATTTTAAAAATGCTGTAGGGCATAGAGGAAAAGGTTCTGCACTTGGCATGGGGAGACTTCTGGACCCCAAACTTACTAGTTACATGACCTTGAGCAAGAACTATCACCCCTGGGCCTCAGTTTCCTCATCTGTAAAGTGTGCATGTGCATGTGTGTGTGTGTGTGTGTGTGTGTGTGTGTGTGTGTAAGACTACTTACACTCCTTGCTTCACAAGATTATTGTAGAGCTCTCATTTTTAATGAATTTGCTACCAGTGATGAACTTTGTAAACCACCCAGAGCCCTGCTCATAGAAGGCATGGAAGAGATGATTAATAGATTGAACTGCACTGAATTTCAGCCTTGAGCTCACAAATGTCTGTCTTTATGCTGCTTCAGCTCTCCCCTGCTAATAAGAATAACAGACATTTCTAGGATCCTTTAAGGTCACCTCACTCTTAAACATAGAGCTGAAACTCAAACTCAGTTCTCTATAGGCTAAGACCATGGTTGGTGATAGTTGTTGCCAGTAGAAGCCCTCCATTGGCCTAGTCACCCAGGACCTAAGGTCACCTCTATACCATGACAGAGACATCAGCGTAAAGATGATAATAATCACTATTAATGCTTTTTCTAGGACCATGAGGCACACCAGCCAACAAGAAATTGTTGCACATCAGCTGATACATTTTACTAAAATTGAGTCTGAACTAAGGATAAATTTTAACCACCTCTTCTGGTCTTCTTGACCTTATTATAACATGTCTCTGTCTCACCTTCTTCCAACAAATTCCTATCAACAATGAACAGGCACAAATCACTTTGAGTCTATCACTGGGATGATGAATTGAAATTCAGGTCAGTTCCACATGTTCCCCAGTGTTGCAACATTAACCATTAAAAACCACAAAATTAGACTTTTTTCCATCTTCCTGGCTCCAAAAGATATTTAAAATAAAATTTTCTCAACAATGTCTAGCTGCCTCCTGATTTTCTCCTTTCTTTACATGCTGATAATAACAATTATTGTCACAATAACAAGAACACTAAGAAGCAGCCTTGGCATAATTGAATTTTTTTTTTTGGCAAGGCAATTGGGGTTAAGTGACTTGCTTAGAGTCACACAGCTAGTGTTATGTGTCTGAGGCCAGATTTGAACTCAGGACCTTCTGACTTCAAGGCCACTGCTCTATCCACTGCACCACCTAGCTGCCCCTGCCCTGGCATATTTGATAGAGAGCTAGTCTCAGATCCAGGAAGACCTGGGTTGAAATCTTACCTTTGAGACATACTGATTGTGTGGGTCCTTGGACAAAGAACTTCTCAGTGTTTTAGGCAACTCTCTGACTACATGTTGAAGAGAAGGTGTCAATCTACATTGGTAGAAACTGGAAGTTTCCTAAATCAATAAGATCACATTTCCTATCCCTATCTCAATAATAGCACAAAAGCATTTCTATAGGACTTTACAAAGCACTTTACATACATTAGCTGATTTGATTCTTACACCAAACCTGTCAAACAAGTATGAAGAGAGTTATGGTCACCATTTTATAGACAAGGATACTGAAGGGCAGAGAGAGAAAGGGAGGGAAAGGGCCTTGTCCAAGGTCTTGCAATGTATAAGTGGCTGAGCCTGGTCTCCTAACCTACACCCAGCAAGAGATCATCCAGTTATATACTGGTCTAAGGCTATGCCTTTGACTGCTTTCTTTTCCTTTGCACGGAGGTTAGGAAGATCCTAGAATCATTCAGGGGAATTCTGTAGGGAAATTTTCTTTAGATCAGTTCCAACTAAGGATTTCCAGTTCCCTTTCTTACCCCCATCGATCCTATTCTAGGTTTTTTTGTCTGGACTGATGCTTACCTAGGCCCTTATCCTAAGAACCTCCCTTTTTCTATATGAGTACCTATTGTATTGTAGTAGAAAGAGCACCAATCGTTGAGTCAAAAAGTCTGGTT